GTAGAAGGGAAACCGGTCTGTAGTTCTCTTAAAGAGTTGGGTTCAGAGTGGGTTTCTTAAGAAGTGGGGTTATACGAGCCTGTTTAAATGTTGAGGGGAAAACACCAGTGTGAAGGGATGTGTTAATGATGTGAGTGAGTGCAGGTACAACTGCAGGAGAAATGGCTTGAAGGAGATGAGATGGAATAGGATCAAGCGGACAAGTAGTAGGATGATTAGAAAGTATGAGTTTAGAGACTTCTGCCTAAGAGAGTGGAGAGAAGGATGAAAACGAGTGTATGTTTGCTGGTAAGATGTGTTTTTGTGGTGTGGCAAATTGTGCACTGAGGTTTGTAATTTTATTAATGAAGAATGTGGCAAAGTCGTCAGCTGTTAGAGTTGATGAAGGAGGGGGAGGAGGACAAAGGGGGGAGGAAAATGTTTTAAAGAGCATGCGAGAGTTAGGAGAATTGTTAATTTTGTTGTGATAGTATGTCCTTTTAGCAGTGGAGGCATTATCAGAGAATAAAGAGAGGAGTGATCGATATACATTAAGGTCAGTAGGATTTTGTGATTTGCGCCATACTCTTTCTGCAGCTCTGAGCTTAGAACGATACTCACAGTTTGACACTGTTTTTGTATATCATTAACAAAAATCTTATTTTCATCATCAAAACTTGAATCCCGTCAAAGTAAAATGATCTAAAATGAATTTAAATATTAATTAATGATAAAATAACAAATTAATTATAAAACAAATGATTGACATAATTCATGTCAAATCATTGACAACAATGATATATTCACTAACGTGACTAAAAATGACAAACAATTCATAAAACAAAAACTATTGAAAATGGTTAAGAGCTAAATAACAATGATTTATAAAATGATTTAAAATAACTAAAAATTAACATAAACAGGCAGAAAAAATAGAATGATAGAGCAAAAGAACAATAGATAGAACAAAAGATAGAGAGCAATAGATAGAAGGATAGACAGAACGATAGAAAGAATTATAGAATGAAAGAATGACAGAATGATAGATAGAACGAGACAGAACGATAGATAGATAGATAGATAGATAGATAGATAGAATCACAAAATGATATATAGATAGATAGATAAGATAGATAGATAGATAGACACAAAGGGTCTTTCCTGACTGCCAGAGGTGTTTTTAATACACTGCACACACACATACAGAGAGAGAGAGAGAGAGAGAGAGAGAGAGAGAGAGAGAGAGAGAGAGAGAGAGAGAGAGAGAGAGAGAGAGAGAGAGAGAGAGAGAGAGAGAGAGAGAGAGAGAGAGAGAGAGAGAGAGAGAGAGAGAGAGAGAGAGAGAGAGAGAGAGAGAGAGAGAGAGAGAGAGAGAGAGAGAGAGAGAGAGAGAGAGAGAGAGAGAGAGAGAGAGAGAGAGAGAGAGAGAGAGAGAGAGAGAGAGAGAGAGAGAGAGAGAGAGAGAGAGAGAGAGAGAGAGAGAGCTCACATATGTACACACTTCCATTCAGGCTGATCCCACACACTCTGACCCACATACACTCTCAAATCCAGGCATTTCCAACAGATGGCCTGGAAAACGAGGAGAGATGCAGGGGTCTTATCTGGATTAGCCCACTCTAGCGTGTGTGTTTGCTCATACAGAGTAGTCAGGCTTAAACCCTGCTTCGGAGTAAAAATGATTTAAAATAACTAAAAATTAACATAAACAGGCAGAAAAAATAGAATGATAGAGCAAAAGAACAATAGATAGAACAAAAGATAGAGAGCAATAGATAGAAGGATAGACAGAACGATAGAAAGAATTATAGAATGAAAGAATGACAGAATGATAGATAGAACGAGACAGAACGATAGATAGATAGATAGATAGATAGATAGATAGAATCACAAAATGATATATAGATAGATAGATAAGATAGATAGATAGATAGACACAAAGGGTCTTTCCTGACTGCCAGAGGTGTTTTTAATACACTGCACACACACATACAGAGAGAGAGAGAGAGAGAGAGAGAGAGAGAGAGAGAGAGAGAGAGAGAGAGAGAGAGAGAGAGAGAGAGAGAGAGAGAGAGAGAGAGAGAGAGAGAGAGAGAGAGAGAGAGAGAGAGAGAGAGAGAGAGAGAGAGAGAGAGAGAGAGAGAGAGAGAGAGAGAGAGAGAGAGAGAGAGAGAGAGAGAGAGCTCACATATGTACACACTTCCATTCAGGCTGATCCCACACACTCTGACCCACATACACTCTCAAATCCAGGCATTTCCAACAGATGGCCTGGAAAACGAGGAGAGATGCAGGGGTCTTATCTGGATTAGCCCACTCTAGCGTGTGTGTGTGTGTTTGCTCATATAGAGTACTCAGGCTTAAAACCAGCTTCAGAGTAAATACCCAACTAAACACTGAATCAGGCACATCGCATGTATACAGTACATTTCTCCTCCAAATGACAAAGAAAAATGAAAACAGACAAACCTTAAGCTTTCTTTTAAATATGTTTGAGGAAAACAGAGATAGTTTAGTTTTAGCTCTGAAATCTGATTGGATGAGCCACATTTAAAGCTGCTGTAAAACAGAATACAGTACGGAGGCACACATAAATATTAACACTATATCTGTATTACTACACCTTCATATGCAAGTCTACATATATCACATATAGTCATACAAAAACATTCTTTTTTTAACCCGGTATAAAAAGTGTTTATTGTGTTTATCACCTTTAAGAAATGTACATATTTATTGAACACTGATGTTTTTTTATCATATTAGCGCCAATACCAACAGTTTTAAAAAAGCAGTTTTAAGTGTTAAAAACCTTTAACCATGGTAATGCATGTACACTACCATTCAAAATTGGGGTCAGCATTGTTTTTATTGAAATATATTAATACTTTTATTAATTTGTTCACCTAGTAGCATCAGACACCTGGCACCCTGCCAAACAGACCCCATAATTCCCGCACACAAGGACACCTCATACTGTAAAGCTCATTACACAGAGATCATGCTGATCTGTAATGAAATCAGGCTGCAAACGGCACATCAGTCACTCACCTGCTTCTGCATTTCAATGTTCAGCCCGTAAGACATTTCATAATACTGTGGAAGGAAACAAGGGCAGTTCAATTACACAACATAAATCACAGTTACATCCACCTAAATGACAGAAATGCTCTATATGTGTTACCAGAGGCCAGAGATAACCCACATTCATAGTGAAAAACCTGACACTCACTTGTCTTTCATATTAATGTGTGTAGATCATCATTTGTATCTATGCACTTGACAGACACCTTTATTCAAAGCGATTTATAGTGCATTCAAGGCACTTCTTTATACTTCGTAATAATAGACTTCACTGTGTTTCTAGGCATTGATAAAGATTTTTTTGTATCCATCTCCTGACTTGTGCCTGTCCACAACTTTATCCCGGAGATCTTTTGCCACCCATAGCTGATCGTTTGTTCAGTTGCACAACCAAGGACTGAAATGCTCCAGGAACGCTCTTTTCATGCTGAGCTAATCAAAATGAGCCCAGCTGATCACAGTTGAGAGTCAAATGGCTTTTGGTATTATGGGTAATGTTGTTAGACTTCACTCTTACCATGATATAATGTCTGTGCATCTCTGTTTTCTCACTCGCCAACTTCTCACATTCCAGCTTCAGACTGAAAAACAGAAAACGACACACGTTGTGAGGTCATGTGACACTGTGTCCTCGTCATGTGACAGTGGTCAATAGGCCACAATATCAGCCCCTCCAACATGAAACGGAACCACTTCTAGAATAAAGATATTTCAACTATAGACTTATATTGTATTACTGAAGCCGATCCAGTTTTATAATGTCCATTGATGTTTACTGTTCTAAAGAAAGACGTTCAGTAGCTTTTGTAATTGCTCCTAATGAGACTATCAGGATTAGCTGGCTAATGGTCTGTATCAGCTAATACAGGCGTTTCTAGTCGCTGGAGTGATTTTAGAGCATTATGGTTTGATAATCTCATCAGCTTTGCACAGGTGATCCCAACTGCAGTTCAGAGAGGATGTAAATCATCTAAATCACAACATAACTGAATAAAATGTAGATGCAATTATAGAAAATGAAGTAAACAGCAGTAAACGTCAAAGAAACCAGGAAGCTTTTCAACGTTGGTTTGATTTTAGGAGTCAGTTGAGTTACATTTTGAGATTTTGTCTGAATAATATTGCAATAAATCCTCCTGGATGAGGTGAAATGAAGGTTGTGTGTCTGTACCTGTGATACTGGGCCTGAAACAGCTGGAATTCCTCTTTTATATGGTCGAGAGTTTCCAGGACTGTGAATTTCATGCCGGCGTGGCCTGACACCAGCGGAGCCTGAAAACACACGAGTATTGTGAGGGATGTCACTCCAAAACAGCCATCAGTTAGCCTATTATTTACTATTTCTACATTGTAATGGGATTACCTTGCTAATTACTCTGTATGGAGCAATCATGTTAGGTAATCTCAGGAGGACAATACAAGGATTGATGGCTAATTCTACTTTCAATTCTTCATTTAACACACAAGATGCATGTAATATATGTTTTCAATGAAATAGTGTTATTTGGTAGGGCATAACTATAAATTGAGTATTTTGTGTGTATTTTAATTTTGCAAAACAACTTGTATGATTACGCTGTAGGGACTATGAAATTAAATGAAATAAAATAAAATAAAATACTCTAAATAAAACATACACCATGCCTTTTTCATTAATAATATAATAAATGGCAACAAATGACGCAGTATGGACTTGTACAATGCTTTTATCAATAAAAAATAAAAAAGACCTTTTTCATTCAAATAAAATAAAAATACAATTTATGCATTTTTAATTTTGTTATTTTTGTTTTTATAATTAATCAAATTCATGCATTACAAATTAAATATATATTAGTGTGATTTGCATAGATCATACTTTCTTTCTTTTTTAATTCAGTGATTTGTATGTTTTTATTTTATTTTGCAAAACATCTTGCATGTGACAGCATGGACACACTATGGTAAATGTCCATAGTAAAACAACATCATAAAAGCTCTCCAAAACATGGCATTACCATTGAACAAAAGCCAGGAATCCACAGGAGACACTGCGCTACATTTTTAACAAATCAACAAATAACAAGAACAACAACAAAAGCATTTCAATTTCAATTAGTTCACAGAGGAAGTGTGCTTGTGTGCTACCCAAAAGAAAGCAGGTGCAATGAACATATGAAACAACATTTGTTGGTGGATGTGAAATTAGCCATCGTTAACTGAACCTGTACATGCAAGTAACAGCAAACACAGAGAACCGTCTCTTAAATGACAGAAAAAAACCCCACAAATCTGATTACAGTAATGCATTATGATGACGCGTGATCAGTGGAGCTGTGACCCAGGAATCAAGGCTATGGTCAGGAAACAAGAGGGCGTTGTACAGAGAGCCGAGTTCAGCGGGACAGAGCCATGAATTGTCACACAGACTGTTCCTCTCACACCAGCCACAAAGAACGCAGTCATCTATCTCACTGTTTACTGTGCAGGGCACTTTCAGGCGGGAGATAGAGACGGAGAGGGGAGGGGGGGAATCACAGAGCCGTGAATAACCGTAGGCTGCTGAAATATTCAGCACATGTGGCACAAATACAAGAGCAGTAACAGCTGTGTGTGTGTGTGTGTGCAAACGACACATGAACCTGCTGCGTTCCCAATCGATGCTTCCTGTGCGGATTGCTGCTACTGGCAAAAACAGAACTGTTCGGGAGGGAAAAAAAACACGCACATCTGTTCGGAGCGATCGTCTCATTCCAGGAGACTGCATCCGTACTGTACATCAGCTCTGATGAGCAGCTTGTTAAGACCTCGATACACAATACTGCTCTGATTAGAACTGACACCAGCACACACACATGCAGCCGCTGCACTTTATCTGTTTATTAGGGCTGTTCATTTTACATCTTCATTTGACGCCATTCATTCGCAAAAAAGTACTTTATGCAAACATAAATAATCATTAAAGCAATTGTTCAAACACAAAATAAAATGTACTCACCCTCAGGCCGTGTAAGATGTGGATGAGTTTGTTTCTTCATCAGAACAGATTTGGAGAAATGTAGCATTGCATCACTTGCTCACCAGTGGATGCTCTGCAGTGAATGGGTGCCGTCAGAATGAGAGTCCAAACAGCTGATAAAAACATCACAATAATCCACAAGTAATCCACACCACTCCAGTCCATCAGTTAATGTCTTCTGAAGTGAAAAGCTGCGTGTTTGTAAGAAACAAATCCATCAGTAAGACATTTTAACTTAAAACCATCACATTGACAAAAAAAAAAAGAGTCCTCTATACATAATTTTGCTTTGTTCAGTGAAAAAGATGCCTGAATCAGGAGAGAAATCTGCACAGATCAAGCACCGTTTACAAGCAAACAGTCCAAACCAGCTCTAAACAAACCTGTGGGTGGATTTTGATGTGAGAGGACAACAGGAGATGGGCTTTTTCACTGGAGGATGCGTTGTTATGGATTATGTTGACTCATAATTGATATTTTTTGCCAGAAGTGTCAGTTTAAAGTTAAAATAGCATAATGATATATTTGTTTCTTACAAACATGCAGCTTTTCGCTTCACAAGACATTAACTGATGGACTGGAGTGGTGTGGATTACTTGTGGATTATTGTGATGTTTTTATCAGCTGTTTGGACTCTCATTCTGACGGCACCCATTCACTGCAGAGCATCCATTGCTGAGCAAGTGATGCGATGCTAAACTTCGCCAAATCTGTTCTCATCTCATCAAATCTGTTTTCAAAACTCATCTACACCTTGAATGGCCTGAGGGTGAGTAGAATTTCAGCAAAGTTTCATTTTTAGGTGAACCAACTTTTTAAGTTGACACAACAAGTCAGTGTCTTGAAAACAGTGTTAATGCTGCCAGACTGTTAGACGTGACACAACGGCCAAATCAGTCCATCCGATGCATATGTACACAGACAAAAATATAGCACAGATTGAGTCCAACAACAGATCCTCACTCTGCTATGTGACATCTCAATAGAGAAAAGCACTGCTGTGAACGGTAGGTCAATGATGCCTTGAATAGTCTTTATTTGTGGCCTTTTCTCACCAAATATTGATGTATGTGATTAACTGTGATGAATTGCACTCTAAAAAAAGTCTGTAAAAATACAGTCCAATTTTGTGTATTGATTGCAGGTGTGTTATCCATATTTTGAATAGTGAATTGCATTGTACTGTGTTTTAGACAACGCCAAAAAATTATGTATAGACTTGCACTATGCCTTTTGCTATGAAATGAAAAAAAAAAAAAAATTAATTAATAAAATACATATTTGAAGGAAATTAATGGAAAGTTGGTGATTTTTTGCCAAGACATTATCCATTTTTCTGCAGATTTTTTTTCAATGTGCTTATGTTGCTCTATTAAAAAGCATTTGTTAAACACAAAAATGTATGTAAGAATTAAATTGTCATTAACTCAACAAATTAACCAGCAAATCATACTGTATGAAAAAATGTGCATATAAAACTGACAGAATGGGCTTTTGAGAGATGTTAAAATTTTTATGTTAAGTGTTAGTAGAGCTAGTGTGTTAAAGTCAGATCTGATCATTAACACCATCAACATAATGATAGTAAATACAGCTCAGACGACGAACACATTTGCATGTGGATATCACTCACTCTTACACATATTCACACCGGGCTGCTTCATGCCTGATCTGGTATTAACGTCACACTCCTGTGAATCGATCACAAATGCACAGCACTGAACAGAGTGTAACCGTATGGTTCCCAAACTAAAAATCAAATTCATTTCCCCATGCAAAAATAGGTTTTTAAAAATAACATGAGATCCACCAAAAGCAAGAGATCAGCAGTGCCCCTCCACTCCCATGAAACACTGCGAATGTCATAATCAAGTCACCCTGCAGTTAAAATACGCTTATATATTTGCATATCTATCTATATATTTTTAATAAACCTAATATATTGTTTTTATACTTGTAAAGAGTGACTACTGGTTATTAGTCATTCGTTTCCTAAGCAATTCTTTCACTTATGAATTTAAATGCACAGTAACTACACTGTAAAAAAAAATCTGTGACATTTACGGTAAAATACCGGCAGCTGTGGTTGCCAGAACTTCACCATTAAAAATATGGTAGAAACATTTTAGGTTTTACAGACTTAACTTAAATTCACAATAAAAAACCGTATTTCATTAACTGATGTAATGTTAATAATCCAGCATACTGAAGTACTAATATCTGTTTTAAACCATTGAAATGCTGATAACCACCAAAAACAGGTGGTGATGAGAAAGTCACATGATGAACCAAATCTCATCACAATCAGCTCTTCCAAAAGCTGAGAAGGGAAATACTAATATATATACATAGAAGGTGCACAGTGTCATTCACACAAACACTAAACACCATCATGGTAACACACACGATACTGAAATAATGCAATAAACATTAATTTAACAACATTAGATGTAAGATAAAACACTAATGTACACAACTGATAAGGAAAAACTAAGAAGAAACATAGTTATTTCAACTAAAAAACATAAAATATGAAGTGTCATGAAGGGAATTCTGGGAGTGTCAATTTACAGTTTTTCACTGTAAATTATACTATGACTTTTTCTTTTTCACTTCCAAAAACCGTATTTTTAACAGTATTTTACTGTAAAATTACATTAAATGTAATTACATTTATTCACCGAATATAGTATGGAAACTTACTGTTAACCAGTTAATATTGTAGCATTTTTACAGTCTTTTACTGTTAAAATCACAATCATTTGTCTTTTTAATTAATTTCACATAATAATGTTTATTATGCATCCTTAAACAATAGAAAAAAGGGCTGCAAACTCAACTGTCATTCATCTGTGTTTTCAAATGTTTGATAAAAAAAACCAAAAAAACAGAAACAATTCTCAGCTGAGCACTTGTGATAGATTGGGGTTATTAGTTAACTAAACTAAAACCATACAAAAACAATTTAATTACTTGAAATAAAAATAAAATAAAATAAAATAAAATAAAATAAACACTTGCCAGGGAAATTTTGTTTAACTTGATGTACTAAAACTGAAATAAAAAAATAATAAAATCTAATAAGAAATATATATAAAAAACAACAACAACTAATAAAACTGACAAAAAATGAACAGCAAAATTACTATAACTTTAAAATTAAAATAGAAATGGAAAATAGAAAAATAAAAACTAATTCAAAATACAAATAAAAAATTATAACAGTATCTTAATATACTGAAATTACAATTTTCAGCTGTGCACTTGTGATCGGATCAGGCTTATTATAATTAATTAAACTAAAAATTAAACAAAAATTAATTACTTGAAATAAAATAAATTTCAACTAAAATAAAATAAAATATATAAAAACTTCAGCTAGTTACTAAGGCACCATTTAGTTTAACTTCTGCTAAAAATGAAATAAAATGGAATAAAATGTAAATAGACATATTTTCAACAAATACTAATAAAAATGACAAAAATGCACAACAAAATTACTAAAACTTTAACTAAAAATAAAAACAAATTCAAAATATGAATAAAAAATAAAATATAAAATAAACACTTGCCAGGGAAATTTTGTTTAACTTGATGTACTAAAACTGAAATAAAAAAATAATAAAATCTAATAAGAAATATATATAAAAAACAACAACAACTAATAAAACTGACAAAAAATGAACAGCAAAATTACTATAACTTTAAAATTAAAATAGAAATGGAAAATAGAAAAATAAAAACTAATTCAAAATACAAATAAAAAATTATAACAGTATCTTAATATACTGAAATTACAATTTTCAGCTGTGCACTTGTGATCGGATCAGGCTTATTATAATTAATTAAACTAAAAATTAAACAAAAATTAATTACTTGAAATAAAATAAATTTCAACTAAAATAAAATAAAATATATAAAAACTTCAGCTAGTTACTAAGGCACCATTTAGTTTAACTTCTGCTAAAAATGAAATAAAATGGAATAAAATGTAAATAGACATATTTTCAACAAATACTAATAAAAATGACAAAAATGCACAACAAAATTACTAAAACTTTAACTAAAAATAAAAACAAATTCAAAATATGAATAAAAAATAAAATGATCTGCTGCAGACTAAACATGTTAAGAAGAGCACAGAACACAACATCCAAACACAATTTCAGTTTAAAAAACTAAAAAAAAAAATAAATAAATAAAGAATTAAATTGACAAAAATTACTAAAACGTATCTAATATTAAATTAAAAACATAAGACATAAAAATAAAATAAAAAACAATTAAAAATATTTATAAAAACTACAACAGCATCTGAATGGATGGGATCATACAGGCAGATGTTAATCCCAGGTGTAAAGCAGGCATGAGCATCCTGTATCAGATCCGACAGGGTTTTGAGAGCAGACAGAAGCTGCCCACTGGAGTCAGATCATCAGCGGCCCAGCAGGCAGCAGCACACACAGTCATTACGTATTACCACATACTGTCTGCTAAACACACAGATGTAAAAACAGCACACACTAACAAACCAAACCAAACCACACTTGCACACTCTCTAAAGGTCATTCATTATACACACGAAAATTCCTCACTTTAAAGCTAATGCATGTTACCACAAAACTGGGTCTCCATGGGCCTGTAATAACATGCCATCATAGCAAAGGTAGCTTTGAAGTGCAGCTCAGTGTGTGAGATTGTGTGTGTGTGTGTGTGTGTGTGTGTGTGTGGTATCGTGTTGCCCAGTGACGATGATGGAACATGACATTTGCAGTGGAGAGTGGGGTGGCCCGGATCCATATGTAGCAACATGCAGCAATAACTCGAACAAACCATTCATTCACCCGTCCATCCATCTGTCCATCCCTCAGCCACACAGAGCAAACTCATGCCACAAATCTCTCCCTGTGTTCACGAATGTCCTTCTACTGTATCTCTGCCTTGAATAATGCCTCATTCCTCCTCTTCTGCACATGCACATCTGACCATCTATCTCTCTCTATTCAAAGAGTTTTATTGGCATGTCTGTTTAATATACAATGATAATAAAAATTGTAAGTAACTTAAATTAATATAATAAATGTTCATATATATATATTAAATTATAATTAACAATTATATTAAAAAATGTAAATACAGAAATAATATTTACATCAAAACAATAACTCCTTTCAGCTACCTGAAATAAAATAAAAATGAACAGAAATACAATAAAATATAAAATATATATATATATTTTTTTTTTTAGCAACATTTCGTTTAATTGTAGTAATATAGCTAAAAGCAGCTAAAAGTGCTTTTTATTTTTATGTAAATATTACTTGTTTATTATTTTTATGTGTATGGTTATTTTATA